CTCCTCCTCCTCCTCCTCTCCCCTTTTCTCCCTTTAACTCTCTAATGCACAAATACAAGCAAGTGTTAGATGAAGACTGTAGAGGCTCTTCAAAGTGCACTTGTTATGCCAAGACTGCTGGGCCATTAATGAGGGCAAACTATTTTCGGAAGCAGTAACTTGGCTGTTTAAAGACTGCGCGCTGTGTTCGTCTGCGTGCGCACGTGTGTGTGTGTGTGTGTGTGAGCGTGCAAGAGAGAGAGCACTGGTGTTCAAGTTTTAATCAAGGACTAGGTGTTTAGGAGTTTGTGTGCACGAGTATGTGCGCAGCCACTCTAGGTGTGAATATGCATCAGTCACTACAAAGCCCCGCGCGTCTTTCTCGAGAGCTCTTTGAAGTAACGGAAAGGGAATAATCAGAATAACCACAGAGGACAGAGGGGAGAGAACAGAGGCGCACGGGCGAAATCATCATTTACAAAAGAGCGGGCGACGTCCATGGGGCCACCTGGCTGTGTGTGTATATGTTTAAGAGTGTGTGTTTATTGATAAAATGGCCCCCTTTGAGGTTGGGTCAAATTGTGTCGGTTTCACAGACCTCTGACCCTGTCAGCCGCTGCAGGTAAACGGTCACTTAACACCTGCGGTGGTGTCGACATGCGCGGACATGCCTGCACGTTTCCTGCGGGGGCTGCCGTGCCTCGTGTGTGTGACTTCCTGTAGCGCCGCTGTGTCAACAAACCAGAGTGGGACAGGAAGGCCGGAGCGTGCTCTGGGCGTGTGTGCGCGGTGTTTGTAGTCAAAAGGGCATCGACGTAAAGAGAGAAAAGGGCAAAACCAAACAATGTGAGGAAAATGTTTTAAAAAAGAGAGACGGGGATAAAGAGGATGAGGCAGAAAAGGAGTGAAGACCACTAAAGGGAGACAAAAGATGAACAAAGGCAAGAGAAATGACATAAGAAGAAGTAATGAGGAACACTGTGTGAGGCTGTGTGAGGACATGGATGCTGTTTTCTGTGTCCCTACCAGTTCCCGAGGCAGGAAGATGTCCTCCTGCCGTGCCACCACCACACACACGCTCTCTCCCTGCTTGGTGCTGCGCAGCATGGCCACGAGTTCCTCCTGGCTGCGGCCTGTCATGTCTACTCCGTTCACCTACACACACACACACACACAAAAACAACAGGGAAAACACATACACCAGAGCAGATTTAAGCGTGTATTATCCACTAACACATATCAAACTAGAGTTGTAGGGGACCAGAGGCTTCTTTCTCTGTTTTCAGATTTATAGTTTGAGATTTCTGCCTCCACCACAACTTTCTCAGGGACTATTTCTTTGGACATTTTCCAGGAAAGTGCAACTACTCCGCTCAACCAGCAGGGGTGCTGCCGAGCTCAATTTCCTGCTCCTAATGATGATGTTACCGCTAACAGAGGCTGTTGGCTTTCTACTCAGCTGGAGATCAACGGGCTGAGGTCTGCCTTACCTCCAGGATGCGGTCTCCGGGCTGCAGGCGGCCATCTTTGACTGCTGCGCCGCGCGGCAGGATGTTCTTCACCAGGATTGGCCCTGGCCCGTGGACCGAGGAGTCCCGGGTTACCACGGTGAATCCCAGACCCTCTGTGCCTGCGGGGAGAAAGCAGCGTGCGTCACGGTGTGCATCAGGGACATCAACCCCTCTGTATTTTATGACTTTCTAATTTCGTTTTAATTGAATTTTCCCTCCAGTCTCTCAGTTCAGTTTTCTCCTTTCTTTCTCCTTCTCCACTCGACTCTGAGTTTTTCCCTCTCTCCTCCCCTCCTGGCCCTCTGAACCCCGGTCTGCGGTTTTAGCATCTTCTTCCACATTAACTACTGTTTAAGTGCCTGTTTCCCTCTGGGGGGTTTGTTGCCTGGCTCAGCCTCTGAGCTGACGGGAGAAGGCTTCTCTCCTAGCCGGATTAGACAGACTCTGCCTTTAATTTCACGTGTGAGCAGGCCAAACGGTGGCTGATGAAGGGAGGTAGAGGGAGAAGATGAGAGGAAGGTGGGGGCGAACGACAGAGAGAGAGCGAGAGAGAGAGAGAGAGAGAGAGAGAGGCGGAGAGAGAGAGAAGAACCTGAGAGATATTATTCCCGTCTCTAGCTTCCCTCCCTGGGGATGCAACGTGATTTCCACAAAGATTTTCCTTTTGGGTGTGAGACTACGTTTATCTGTGTGTATACATTTATAAGTGTGTGTGTGTGTGTGTAGGTGTGTGTTTCTGAGGCCACACATACACATGCATGAGCCATCAACCCCCAGAGCCTCCACCCTCTCCCTTTTTCACGGCCTCACAAGCCCCAAGCCATGAGTGAAATGTGCCACGCTCCGTGTGTGTGCACGTGTGTGTGTGTCTGTGTGTGTGTGTGCGCGTGCGGGGAGAGCAAAGCCGGCGTGGCATACTAAAGGCGGTGAGCGATGCTATCTGGTCTCCAAGCTAAGCCTCTGCCTGCCCTACATTAGCGCACCTAAACCTCACCGCCTGTCAATCACGGAGAGAAAGAGCCTGTTGCCAAGGGAGAGGGTGTTAGAGACCCCATAATATCCTCTGCTCTGATCTTGCATCAAGTGAAAGGGATCGAGGGAGACAGGGTGGGGGAAAAAGAAATGGTACAAAAGAAGGATGGAGGGAAAAGGAGGAGAAAATTGGGGGGATGAAAAGGTGGTGGGAAAAGAAAGAAACTAACAATAAAACAGCTGTGAATAGAGCTTTGAGCTGGAAAGTGTGGAGCCCAATTTTTTTCCATCCTTTCATCTGGGTATCTTCTTGCCTTTCTCTGGGTACCCGTAACAAGTGTGAGTGTGAGTGTGTCTGTGTGTGTATGTAGCCCAATTACAGCCATCCTTTCAATGCCCCATAACACTACAGGTTGCTAGAACAGAGCCTATTCACAGTCCTGCAAACCTATTCCAGTGCTATCAACACATCAGCGCTCCAGCACTGATGTGTTTTAGAGGGATAAGAGATAAGGCGGCTGGGAAGCCAGGCTGATTCAGTCTGGGTTAAATTCTACAAGCAAAACAACCCGACGGTATGTGAGGTTCTCCCACAAGATAAGAAATGAAAAGTATCTTCAGAATGGAAAGTTACTTTCAATATGGAGGGAAATTGCTTTCAGTGGTCCAGAGCTTTATATAGGACTATTTCTTTTTTTTTTTTTTGTTGAAAAAAATCAATAATACAAAAACATCTATGTGCCGGTAGAGAATATAGCATTCAGGACTTCCAAATCAGCTGCTCAACAGCTTTAAGTTCACCTGTTATTGCATCAGTAAAACAAACCTGGAAGATAAAACCTATAAATAAGCACAGATGTCCTCAAAAAGACCACACGATTACCTTGAGAACAGGTCCATAGTGAGTGAGAGGAGGACAAGAAAGGAATAAGACAGAGCGAGCTTTACACGTGTAGTACAAAATGTAACTTTTCATACAGATTATTGTTGTGTTGTAACTCGCCTCGCCAATATCAAATCACAGACAACAGGAAACAAACTGAGGTACATGATAAAAAACTATTTCAAAAATCTTAAAAATAACAGCTATACATTATTTCCTAAAGAAAAAGAGGTATTCCAGTGCAGCTTGAGTCTGTGATTCATTTTTACCCAATTTCAGGAATCACTGATAGAACAGAAAATGAAATGGGCACTCAGCTGCACATTTACCTTTCTTCAGGTCAATTTTTATCTTCTTCCCGCCCTTCCTGCTGGTAAGGTTGGCCAGGGTTGGCGGAACAGGGCTCCTGCTGGCCAGGGGGCTCTGGCTGCGGGTCCTGGGTGTCGGGGAGGAGCTCGCTGCACTGGCTAGAGGCCCGGGGGAGACTCTTTCCAAGGAGCCATGCCCAGACTGGAGCTCCACTGGTGGCATGTTGACCGAAGCTGGCTCCGGGGTCTTGGCGCGCGCCTCCGGTCGCCTCACTTCCAGTTTTGTGTTCCGTTTGGTATCTTGTTTGGGTTCCGGCTGGGGGTCGGTTTTAGCGCGGGTCACCATCGGACTCTTTGCATTTGTGGGGGTCTCTTTGCCGTCGCCGGTAAAGAGCTGACCAATCAGGCTCTTCTCGTAGCGCGGCTTGCTGGCCATGGGGAGGACCTCCAGGCGAACGGAAGAGGTGGACATGGCCTGGCGGAACACTTCCTGTGACCTAGGGAAAACAACGACAATTGAGGAAATAAGAAATATTTACAATTTTGCCTTTTAAAGGACCAGCGTGTAGGATTTAGTAGCATCAAGCAGTGAAATTGCAGAACTGAAACTCGAAGCGTGTAGGAGAAACTACAGTGGACACTAAACTTGAACAAGAAAGAAAGTCCTTATTTTTTTGTCTGAACTGTAGAAACATGGCGGACTCTGCCAGAAGATGACCCTCTGTAGAAATAAAAGGCTCATTCTAAGGTAACAAAAACACAACAATTCTTATTTTCAGGTGATTAAATATTATATTCTATTTATATATATTATTATACATATATTTATATTTATATTTCTTCAAGTGGAAAACTCAGAGAGACATCTGGCTGAAGCCATGTTCACTTAAATTATACGATGATCCCTTTAAGCTCTGAGCCAATTTGCCTTGTAGAACACTACAAAACTGTAAAACAGCAAAAGAGACCAAGAAAGTCAAGCAGAACACAGAAGGAGTGCACAGACAGTCGGAGAACGAGGAGGGCGAGTGCGCCTTGTGCGTCGTTAATGGAGCTGTATTTCAATTTGGATCAAGCACGGAGTGACTCTTCCAGCTGGTTTGGGACACTGTGGTCCCTATCAGATGTGGGAGACCTTACAGCAGCTATTGCAGCTTTAATAGACTACTATCAGCAAAACATTCACACAACACAGACAACACAGTGGGATGCAGTTAAATGAACCCATTCAGCTCCACCACAGAGAGGACAGAGAAAATAGAGAAAGAACAGAGGGATGGGGGGATGAAGAGGTGTGTGTATGTGAAAGAGAAATGTGGTATTCACTGATAATGATGGTTATCAATGTATTATCATTGGGTGTATCTACACTTTTATTGTGTAGTACTTCTGATTGTTTTAAGAGTGGTGATTGGACTGGATGGACTTGTTATTGTCGTACGTTTAACAATTAGATGGGAATTACAAAGGTCAACAGTGGAAAAGTTTGGAATTTGCGTGTGTCATCATAACCATGTTTATATGTCTGTGTAGGGATTATTGATACGCTGGACTGGGAATTAAGTTGGTTACTGTTAAAATTCGAGTGCTGACGAGTTTAGCTTTATGGACATTCTCATGATATCTTAGTAAAGAGTAGGTGGACTATTTGACAGGGAGGTGTGATTAATCTAATTAGAATTTGGAATACCACTATGGTATGATCCTTATTCTATTGGGACTTTTAGGGGTATGTTTAGATAGACTACCAGATGTTTTTCTTGATAATCTATTGTAAACTAATAACTATAATTTAACTCTTGAGCACCACTGGTTGTGTTAATGAATTATTTTGCATTTGTTTGGCTTGATTGTTTTCGTGGGTCAATTAATATTTAGGCAGACATACATTCACTTTTTAGGAAAGAGTTGGGCGGTGAATATTAGACCAGCGTCCATTTAAACAGGTTCTTTGGGGGCCTTCGGCATTTTTTCATAGCAGAGATAGGGCTCTCTTATTATTAAAATGGTGAACATTGGGTGGAGGTCATCACGATTCACAGTAGTGGGGAATATACAAGGTTGTGTTTTGAAAACTTCACTGGGCTTGCAAGACTGTGATATACAAAAGGGATTGACAGAATTGTAAATGAAGAGTATTTGGGATGAAGTATCTTATTTGCAAAAACTAGAGAATTGTTGTAAGGATAGCACCACTATCTTCTTTTACTGAGGACTAGTCGGGAGATAAGGAAACATCAAAAGAACACTTTCCGCTCAGTTCTCATTTTTTCACCTTCTTATAGATATATCAGTCTACAATCTGGGCTTCGCCATCTTGGCCACCCTTTTCGTTGGTTTTAACACGCTTCACATTTGTATTTCCGACTGGACATCTTTTGATTTTGCTTAACTTTATAGGGTTCGTACATTCAATCAGTGATTTCCAGGGGTTTCTTCCACTTCTCTATATTCAAGTGATTGCATCCATTTGGTTATTTATTGTTACTAGGTTGGAATCACTTTATTTTTAAATGGTCAGAACATTCAGGCCAGATATCAGATAGGTTTGGAGTTTACATTTACTTTTTTAAATATTCCAACTATTTTAAGTTTAGTGAAAACACTGAATCGGGATTGAATTCGGCGGCCAGTTCCCTTTTCCAACCGACATCTTTGAGCCATTTTTATAAGGACATTATATTCCCTTTTCATTCACGGGCAAAAGAATGAGCCCATTGAGCATCCAGAATAGCTTTGGTGCTGCCTCCTTCCATTCACTGGTCTCGTCATGGAGGGCGAAACTCAATGGGTACTTTGAATGACCACATGGAGGTATGGACTAGGAATGGACATCGCGGGGATCATTTGATTTAAATAGAGAGATACAGTGACTCTTGCATGAGATAGATGATATGCTCATTTGGCATCATCGGAAGTTATACCAAGGAGGCATTTTTATGCGACAGTTTGTTCAGTTCCGCTAGTTGATAATGCCGTGAATGCTACGAGTATAGTGGACGGCTGAATTGAGGTCATTATCTTGCTGGTACAGCTGGGAGCATCAGCCGATATACATCTCTTATATGGCCGCTATTTTACATTTTGTTATATTTCTCTTCTTATCATATTTGTGTTACGGATAGCGGAAGCAACGGAGCAACGTTAGCTGCATAATTCTCCCACGCTCTCACAGGGTGTCAATTCATTTGGTTTCCACGACCATTTTCTCTGCTCCGTCCCCACGGGACATTTACCGACAGCAGGAGTGCTGTTGATGCTGTTTTAGGACGTGTGTTTCTTGACAGATCCGTAGACTCATAGAAGATTCTCCACAACCGCGAGACGTCTTTGGGCCGAGGAACACAACAAGCGAGAGAAATATAAATACACGGCTCATGGCAGATACGGTTGATCACAGTTGCGGTGCGGGTGGTTTACATTACATTTGCGAATACTTGACGCGTTTGTTAAAGGACGTGAGCTAGAGAGATGGTGTTGACTTTATCTGCAAGATTCACTGATACTGCAGGGTCACAACCTGGGAGGAAACTAGGCAGGCTGGTATACAACTTAATCTCAGTATAGATTTTTTTGTATTTTATGTGATCATAGGACGATAGGAGATTATGGTTGATACGTTCTCCTTGGATCTTGCGATTACATATACTCTGAATGTAGTGATCTTCATCTCTCTCTCACATCTCTGCCTTCTTTTCCATTTGCATTCAATGCCTTTCTTCTTATCAAATAGCATCCTCTTATTACAGTATAAGCTCTTGATTGCTCTCTCTCCTCCTTGCTCTTTGTGCACGTATGAATCGTCTATGTGACCTTGTGTCTATTGATTCGATCGAAGTTATATTAAAAGCCACAATACAGGTCGACGGGTGGATCTATGTCGATAAGAGAATTATTATGATAATGAGAAGCTCATTTATCTGTTATATATTGGGTAATTCTCTTATTCTCCCCTTCTTATTTTCTATCTAGTGCATCATTCATCTCACCCTTTGTAACACATCTAACGGTCATTGTTGTGTTCTCTCTTACCTCACTTCAGGAAATAGGACTTTTTTGCTCTTGTCATAAAGACCCAAAGCTAAGCAGCCTAAATGCAATGTTAATGCCACGTCTCTGCCGAAGTGCTATCGAATCTCACACAGCACATGATTGAATCCTTGAATTGATTCTGACTATTCTGGTTAGACCTTATGTTGTGTCTTAACATCCTAGAGCTCAACCTAACTGATCGAATCAGACACTAGATGATTAAGCAATTTAGATGGTAACGGACTATAATAGATGAGTAAACACTAAAATTAAGTCTTTGGAAGTCCGGTCTTGACATGTATTCTTTATCTGGGATAGCGTCTTACTCATAATGATTTTTGGGGTTCTGTGGGGAATGGACAATCAGTATGAACTTGTCATTACCCTTTTTTCATTTGGTTCTTTTTTCAGATGGTCTTTTTGAGTTTTATTTATAGGATCTCGATAAATGTATGTTCGTATAGTTCTTTTTTCAGCCGGCTGACTGAACACTCGCGACCAAGAGGCTTTAGTGGGAGGGCTGTTTACATAGGGTTATTTACTTGGGGACTCCTCGGACTTATAATAAACTAGCGAGGTACCTCGTTATCATTGCCACTTCTCCTCACAATTATCTCAAAACCAGAGCAAGCAGGCTCAATAGGTGCACTTTAATCATAACAGGGTGCTGCTACAACAGCCACATCGATGACTTCTTCACATTCAGTCTCTATTATTTCAGCAACATTTTTAATCTAATTTCTCTGAGGTAAGGATGAAACCCAGGGCATAACCTCAATGTATTTCGTATTTGAGAATCTCCATGAATATATAGAGGGATTATTTTCAATAGAGCGTCGGGCATAGTACATCATGTGTGGTGTTTTATCCCATTCAGGTTCATATTGACTCTCCATTGTATTTTTGTGTGTATGTTGCAAGGACCCTGGGGCCCTTCACATTAAAGGCATCGAGGAAGTCAGGTCGCGCCAAGAAAGAAGAACATCTTCAAAGGTGGGAGAGTGTATCGTCCAAATAACGACACGCCAACTACAGACACAGACTTCGCGACAGTAAGTTGCCGCCCGGGTGTGAATGAATGAGATGAATGAATTTGAATCGAATGGAATGAATAGGAATATCACGCAAGCCCTGCCTTTCAGCATTGGTGGGAATGAAATTCTCCCTGTTATGTGAGGGTACCCTGCCACGCACTGGGTAGCGAGGTACCTCACCCCGGCACTCAGTTTTCTTCCTTTATCAGCCCAAAGACAAATCCTGTCTCATTCTCTCTTCCTTTCCTATCTCCCACCACATCTACTCCACACGAAGAAGTGCATGGTCTCTTTCTTTCTCATCTTGATACTAAATTGGTTTCCAGGCACCACACACCACGACACACACACACACAGCACACCACACAACACACACACACACACACGACTACCTCACACACGACACAACA